TTCAGCAATCTTGTGTGTGTGTGTGTGTGTGTGTGTGTGTGTGTGTGTGTGTGTTGTGGGTGGAGGCCCACACTCAGGTGTACTCGGGGCTTATCCTCCTGGCTCTGTACGCAGGATCACTCCTGGTGGCTTCAAGAGTCTCTGTGGAGTACAGGGGATGAAACCTGGGCTGGCTATATGCAAGGCAAGTGCTTTATCTACTATTCTAGTTCTCTACCTGTCCCCCGTTCTTTCTTTCCCCCCTGGATGGGAATGTCTTAACCACACTCAGTTATGCCAGGTTGCATGTTTATAACATGTTCTGTTTCCTGTCCTGAGATGTCTGCTGCTCATCTAGCATACAGTGTCCTCATCCCAAACTGCATAAGATCTCACAGGGGGTACTAGAGCGTGTGTGTGTGTGTGGGGTGTGTGGGGGAGGTGGGGGTGGTGTTTATCTGCCAAGTACTCATCAGGAGTCTTTCTAGAGGCAGAGGCTCACTCCTCCCCAGAAGTTTCTCTCAGATATGGGAGCCCCCGAGGAAAAATATTTGGAATCCAGGGCCTGCTTTGGCTCTGATGGGCTGGCTCATTCCTGCCAATATCTGAGACATGATAGAATAGTTCCTCCTTCAAACAAGGACTAAAAACAGCAGGCTCGGGCAGGCCTGCTGGCCACTACCAAAGCTGCGTGTGTGGCACTGCTGGACAGGCAGGAGAAAGAACCTCAAATAGAAAGAGGCAGATGGAAGCTGTAAGGAATCAACCGGTGCTGAGATAGAGAAGCATGGAGTGGAGACTGAAACCCCTGCTGTTACAAGAGGTGGAGGACAGAGGGTTTTTCTGGGTCTCAGAGGACCCCGTGGAAAGTCTGCTCTGAAATGGAGCAGCCATGTAGGGCCAAAGAGTTTGACAGCTGATGGATGGCATAGGTGGGAATCCTTTGAAGCCTAGTCTTGTGCAAGGGCTGGAGGACTTGAGAGAAGGTGCACAAGGAAAGCTGTAAGGAGCCAGCTAGTATAAGGTCTCAGTGGACACCGGCTCCTGCTGCCCAGGAGGTTGGCCAGGCAGAGGGTGGGCCTAAGTCCTAAGGGGAGAATCTCCCTGGGCCAAGGCAGTTGTCTGCGTGTGATTATGAGTGTGTTAGTAGCCACCAGGGCTGCTGGAGGACAGTTCACTGTGTAGTAAAGGGGATCTGGGTGGGCATCAATATCTGTGACACTGTTTAGCTCGGGGGAGCTCCTCATGCTCATGGGTGTGGAGAGGAAGTTGAGCAGACCAGATTGCAGCCAACAGCTTCCGAGTTGCTTCTCTCCATTTGCTCCTCCAAGACCTCTCTCTTTTTGGGGGGTGGGGAGCTTGGGCCACACTAGGCAGTGGTCAGGGCTTACTCCTGGCTCTGTGTTTAGGGGTCACTCCTGGTAGGCTTGGGGAACCGTATAGGGTCCTGGGGATTGAACCCAAGTTGGCCGCATGCAGGACAAATGTCTTGCCCCCTATACTCTCACTCCAGTCTCCACTTCTCATATTTCTTTTCCATCCTGCCCTGTACTCCAGGGGCCTTACCCTATGGTTGATATTGTCCCTCATTCACCCTGACTTTCCATGGTTGCTGGGTGGTTGCTGTATTGTTCAGGCAAGAGAATTCAGAGCGGTTCAGAAGAGGTGTGGGTCTGGCAACATTCTGCTTCCTTTAGGCCCGAGTTGGGCCAGGGCAGCCTTCCTGAGCCCAAGCTCCTGCGAAGTTCTCCTCTCTTTAACAGCCCTCTGATGCCTCTTGAGGGTCTCTTGCCCTTCCCATACTTTTGTGATTTGGTCTTGTTTAGTGATTCTTTTGAGCATTGAGTCGGTTCTGATCTCTTGAGCTGGTACATGTCGAAATTCATTTCATGCTCCCCGCATTGTGTTAAATTTAGATGCTGGGCCAGCAGGTCAGGGAAGAGGCCGAGAGATACTTAATTTCTAACAAGCTCCCGAAGGATACCTGTCTTGCTGGCCCAGGACCCACACTTAGAGTGAGTGAGGTCCTGGGCTTTCTGTTGGGTGTGAGGAGGAGGGAGGGGAGAGGAGGAAGGGGAAGGCTGTAGACCTGACTAAATTCCTGCTTCAGCAGGCAACAAGCTTAAACAGAGCTATCTTTTTGTTCTGTTCTTTTTTTTTGTGCCACACCTGGTGCTCAGGGCTTACTCCTGGCAGGCTCTGGGAATCATATGGGGTCCTGGGGATTGAACTTCGGTTGGCTGTGTGCTTTACCCACTGTACTATCTCTCTGGGTCCTTAAACAGCGATGCCAATCAAGATTACTGGAGAATCGGTTTTTGTTGTTTTGGGGCCATAGCTGGCAGTGCTCAGGGTTTACTCCTGGCTCTGAGCTCTGGGATCACTACTGGTAGGGCTCAGGGGACTGTATGGGGTGCTCGGGATCAAACCCGGATTTGCCATGTCTAAGACAAGACAAGTACCCTTGTCGCTGTATTATTGCTCTGGCCCCAGGAGAATCATTTTCTAAAAAAAAAAAAAAAAAAAAAAAAAAAATGACATTATGCAACTGTTGGAGGAAAGAATTATTTATTTTAAATATTTCAGAAGCTTTGTGTTAATGGGTGCTCTCTCCTGCCAGTTTTCATAAGCCTCAGCACATGCGTCCCAACAATTTAGTTTTACTTACATACAGCATTGCATTGTTACTTTTCTGCACAGATGTTTAGATCCTGTGACATTAATTTAGATGACATCAAACCAATAAAAACTTAAATGTATTGGGTTTATTTTGCAGTTCATTTTTACAAAATATAATTTTTACATGTATTAATAAAAGGTAAAGGTAAAGGCCCTCCCGTTGATCGTCGATTTGCTCGAGCGGGCCCAGTAACGTCTCCATTGGAGACTTTGTTGTTACTGTGTCTGGCATATTGAATACTCTCGGTAGCTTGCCGGGCTCTCCGAGAGGGGCGGAGAAATCGAACTCGGGTCGGCCATGTTGGCCGCTTGTAAGGCGAACACCCTACCCGCTGTGCTATCGCTCCAGCCCATGTATTAATATATTGGTAAAATTTATTAATACATTTGTATTAATATTACTTATTTTTGCCTTGGCATTAAGTCAGTGTTCTTGGGTTATTACAATAGTTGAACAGTGAACAACATGATCCCGGTGGTTGACATGGAGATTATCTTATATAGTTAAAAACAGAAAAGTGATCTTGTAAAAGATTAGGAAAGAACCTAAATGTATAAATACATAAAATCTCTGGCTTTTATTCTGTTGTGTTTCGCTTTGGCTACATGCAGACAGCATCTCATTCCTATTGTTCTATTGATTGGATGCACAGCTATTCCACTTGTTACCTTCGGGTCTTCATTTGACCTAGGTCTAGGCACTAGGTCTTTCTGATGCTGTACCACCTTTACGGCCCATCAGCCTATTCCTTTCCCAAGGATCGAATCAAAAAAGAGGGGACAGAGTAGAAAGTATCTTATAAAATTTTTCTTCCTCGGGAAAACACCACCGATAAAGAGTTCCACTGTGAGAAAGAGCAGGACCTCTCTCGGGCCACATAACAATGCTTGAGACTCTGGTAAGGGCTGTATTGCCTTCACTTTTCACCACTGAAAACAACTGTCTAAGAAGATGCCTTCTACCAGAAAAACAGATTGCGTTTCTGCACCAATAAGGGGAGACCACTGGTGAGGGATGTGAGGGCTGCAGAGCTCTGGTTACATCTGATTCTATGCAGGTCACAGAAGTTCCTTGGTCTCTGTGCCTCAGACTCAGACTTAAGTGTCTCAGAATAACCTGGTTGTCCCCAACTCATTTCTGTTTCCTAAGACTGGGATGGCACTTGATCCCTTACATGACTAGTGAGTCCCCTGGTTGTATGGGTGCTGCAGGTCTCAGGACTACCATGCTTGGAGGTCCATTGTCATAACTGATACTAGGGACTGTGAATGGGGCATGCCCGCCAGCCAGGATGTATTCTCCCCGGATTCATTCTGTGCTCATGGAGTCCCAACTTCCACCACAAAGTGAAGCTTTGGTGGGCCTAGATCGTCTCCTATTCTTTGATGATTCCTCTACTTCTTTATTATGTAGCTACCCATTGATAAACTTATCCTGGGATCTCTGACATAGAGCAAGAATACAAAGACATTTCTAGGCTAGCACTAGTCAAGGACAACTAGGCACCGCTAGAGATACGAGACAGTGCTTCCAGGCACAAAGGTGACTTTGTCATTTAGAAAGGATGGACTGTCTACAGAAGGGAGGCAAGCGAGGTCAGTATGTAGGAAGCCTCTCTTCTTCCCAGTGTGCGCCCCACCCTCCCCACCCCCCATTAAAATATCCATCTTACATGGACTCTAATCTCAATTGGATAAAAACCCCCAAAGCATCTAGATGATGTCCTGGTTCTTGGGGCTCCTCTGTCCTCAGCAACATCTCAACCCTAAGAGGAAATAACCCATTATTTAATTAATTTATTTATTTAGGCTTCTTGGGTCAAACCCAGCAATATTCAGGAGTTACTCCTGGCTTGGCACTCAGGAATCACTCCTGGTGGTGCTCGGGGGACCATATGGGATGCCAGGGAATGAACCCGGTTGGCCGCATGCAAGGCAAACGCCCTCCCCACTGTCCTATCGCTCCGGCCCCTAGCCCATTATTCTTGTATTAGCACATTTCCCAACATCCTAACAAAACACTGCTCTTGGTGGCTCCATTTCGCCCATCTTTTTGAAATATTCAGGTCCCAGAGTAAGTTATTTCTTTTAAAAGAAGAAGAAGGAGAGAAGTAGAGAGTACAATGAAGCAAGAGGTGAGTTCTGACCTCCTGTTGGCACGAGGGCCCAAGCATGGGTCTTGGATTAGTGCAATTCCTCCTTGGGCAGACAGTGGAGGAGACAGTGATGGGTGTGAGGGGGCACACAGGACTTCTTGCCCTGCCAGGTGCCTCCAGAAACACTTCTCAGCCTCTGAAACAGAGACTCAAGAAAGGATACAGAGGCGCCCTTTTGGCAGGCACCCTGCTGGTGGTGTGGATGCTGAGTGTTTATCTGTGGGAACTACGCGCCACCTCTTCCTCCCCAGAGGCTGTGGCCTTGCTCCCTCAGGGGGCAGCTTAGACCTTCTCCATCTCGATCTGCTGGTGGTAGTGCCGAGCCTGCCGCTGGCCCACGTTCAGCTTGTACACCGAGCTCTTGTGCTGGCATCTGCGGTAGCCCCACACGGCCCCCACCCCTGCCAGGAGCAGCAGCAGACACAGGACGGTGACAACGGTGGCGATGACGGGGCCTCGGCTGAGGTTGGGACACTCCTCCCCAAAGCAGGGCTTCAGGGTCGGGAGAAGCTCCTCACCTGCCTGTGGGCCTGGGCCTTCCTGTTCCAGGAAGTCCTCGGAGAGCAGGTAGGGGAAGCTGTCCTGGGCCTCCGGGGATGTGCTCTCCACGGGCATCTGGGTGGCCACCACGAGGGTGGAGGGAACGTGGCGAGGCATCTGCTGGACGACGGTGCCTGTGTCCAGGGCGGAGGCGGTGAGTTCAGAGGCAAGGGTGGGTGCGGAAGACTTCTCGGTGGTCAAGCTCCAAGGGAGAGTTGACTGCTTCAAGTCACCGTCCCCCCTGCCAGGGCCTGTGGTGTCAGACATGTTTACAGGAGTGAGGGCCAAAGCTTCTAAGTCGAATATTTGGGATGGAAGAAGTGAATGACGGGTCGTGTCCACACCTGGCGTGAGGGTGGAACTCTGGGGCTTCTTGACTCCCACGAGAATGGGCTGGGTGAGAGTAACGAGGACACTTTCCTCCAGCCCTACTGACCCATCCCCCTTGTCCCCGTCTTCTTCCTCCTCTTCCTCAGCTCCTGTCTTCCTCCACGCACTGTCCGTCACAGGGTAGCCATCTAACCAGGACTCGTCACTGCTGCTCACCATCGAGTCCCCAGCCCTGCTGTCATTCCTCCCCGCAAATGTCCCTGAGAGAGTGACAGAGCTGTTTGAGGCCACCTCGGCCTCCAGCTCACTGGTGGCCAGTGTGAGGCCACTGTGGTTGTCTCCAGCAGGCAAGAGCTTTTTGGTGTCATCATTCACCCCCTTTTCCAACTCGGGCTTGTGGAAGGTCTCGGCAGGAAACCAGAACAAGTACTTCTGGTTTGGTTGGGGCCCTGGCAGGGCTGTGGGGACATTGCTCCCAGCTCTGGGCCAGCCCATTGTGGGTACAAAGGTCGAATCCCGGGCCCTGTTTTCTCTCCCTGCAGCGGTGGAGACCAGGTGGTCTCGTTTGGAGGCCTCCTCAGATGCCTCTGCCTGACTCCTGTCCTCTTCCTCCTCTGTCCGGGAATCCTCCATGAGTTCTCTGAACGACACGGATCTATCATCAGGGAAATTTTCTTCATAGTCAATGTGTGCCTCAGCCTCATCTGGAAGGAAAGAGGAGAAGACATCAGAATAAGCAGAACACAAGAAAGGAAAAGGAGGGGCCACAGAGATAGTACAATGATTAGAGCACTTGCCTTTTATCCTGCCAAACCTGGTCTGAATCCACAGCACCACATATGGTCACCTGAGCACTGCCAAGGGTCTCTCTTGAGCACTGAACCAGGAAAAGCCCCTGAGCATAGTTAGGTGTGGCCCACACCCTCCCTTTCCACCCACAAAAAAGAAGAGAAAGGGAAATGAAAAGGAGATGGGAATAGATGAAATAAAACTGTCATTTACAGATGAAATGTTTTGTGTATCTCAGACAAACCCAAAGGACACATACAATTACAGTTAACCTGCTAGTTTATCATGGATATGGGGTCCAAAGTCAATAGGAAATATCTTTTATATTTCTATATACCAGCAACAAACAGTTCACAGTTGAAAGCTTGCCACAAGTTGGGGGGAGAGGACAGTTAGGATAAAATAGGGATCACTATGACAACAATAGGAGGGAATGATCACTCTGGGAAATCAATCAATTTCAATGATTGCTGAAAGTATGTAAAGGGATATACTTGATAACTTTCAGTACCTGTATTGTAAACCATATGCCCAAAGAGAGAGAGAGAGAGAGAGAGAGAGAGAGAGAGAGAGAGAGAGAGAGATAAAGAGACAGAAAGAGAGAAAGAGAGAGAAAGAGAAAGAGACAAAGTGCCTACTGTAGAGGCAGTCTGGGGGTAGGTGGAGGCAGGGAAATGGGATATTGGTGGTGAGAAATGTACAGTGGTGGATGTTGGAACATGGTATGACTGAAACCCAATCATGAACAACTTTGTAACTGTATCGCATGGTGATTTAATTAAAAAAATAAATAAAGAAAATACAAGTGCGGAGTTGAAGGTAAACTCCAAAGGACTAATACCCAGTATTTATTTATGAAGAACTCCTACCAATCAAAAATAAATAGGCAGAGAAGCCATTGAAAAGCTGGCAAGATACTTGAGTCAGCACATCACCAAAAAGATATCTAAATAGTCATCAAACATGCATAAAGATGCTCAAATTCATTAGTGCGAGAGAAATGCTAATTACAGCCATATTACGATACCATCACATAGCACCAGAATGGCTAAAATTAAACAGATTGACATCTAGTGTTGACAAGCTTGTGCATGTGTGGTGCTGTTGTGGGGAGTGTGACTTGGAGCAGGCACGGTGAAAAGCTGTCTGGGCACTGCTACTAAAATGGAACATATGCTCTATTCCTAAATATATACTCCACGGTTATGTGTGCGTATGGGTACCAAAAGGCAGGCAGGAAAATGTTCAGAAGAACTCCACACTGGAGGCAGCTCTAATGTTCATTAACTGCAGAACTCACACTTACATCATAGTCTATTTGTACAATGAAAATCTGCACATCAATGAAAATGAACCAACCATCGCTTCCCACAATGACGGGGATGCATCCCACAGTTAAGCCAAAGAAGCCAGGCACAAAAGAGCACGTTCTGTGTGAGTCTATCTAAAAAAAATTTTTTTTAAAGTAGAAATTCCACACAATGTAGTCGTCCCATTTCTGGGTATTTACCCAGAAAATACAAAAATACAAATTGGCAGGGATTTGTGGTAATTGCAGCATTTATCTACCATAGCCAACAATGGGGAACAACCTAAATGCCCACTGACTGATGGACATCTATGCACATATTAGAATACTGCTCAGCTATAAAAACAAACAAACAAACAAACAAACAAACAAATCCTGGGCTGGGAGATAGTTCAGTGGGCTACAGCACATGCTTTGCATGCATAAACTCCAGGTTCTGTCCCTCGCACCATATGGTCCCCTAAGCATTTCCATGAGTGGTCCCTAGCTCTGCAGTTGGAATAGCTTCCTGAGCACCACTGGATATAGCCCTCAAACGGATAAAAAAAATAACATGGATGGGCCTAGAGGGCATTATGCTGTGATTTAAGCCAGATGGAGGAAGACAAACACTGTATGTTTGTACTATATTCCGCTAAAGAAATAAAACAAAAATAAATTTAACCAACACCTCCCCCCCAACCAAAACCAAAAATAAAAAGACACTTCATTTTGCAACTTGGAAAATACAAATGCAAAGAGTTCTAGGATTAAGGTCTGAATGGAATGTTGGGGTATCCCATGGTGTATTCCTGGACATTTGGCTTCTTTCTAGTGGTCTTTGAAGAATAAGATTCCGTAGCTTGATGACTGAGTGGCTCAGAATTATAAATAAAATTAAAAATCCTTCTGATCTGCTATTAAACCTTCAGTCAAAAATGAAAAGCAGCGGGTGAAGAGCAAACATTGCTAATAAATGTCAATAGCATGTAGGCCGTATGCTTAGCAAACGCCAGTCAGTAAACCTTTCCCTCCACGGCGTCCAGAGATTCTCAGGCAGAAAGCGCAACAGATGGTTGGATCATTCTTCTGGGCTCACAGAAGTCAGATACAAGCATTGAGCATGGAGCAGGCTTCCTCTTGCACTCTCCCTGCTCTCTCAGACCACCTCTTGCCTTGTCCCACACTCATCCAGGTACAGCACCCATTTACTCCCTCAACAAACTTCCCTGAGAACTGTTTTGTCATTACTTGGGCTGGGCTTCAGGTCTCCAACAGGACAATCAGTTTTTGCTTTCACGGAGCATGTGAAACAGGACCCCCTGGTCTTGAGATAGATCAGGTTGAATTGCAAAGTCTGTTCACAGCTATTTTGCTGGATAAACATCAGGCTTGAGGCTGGAGAGAGCTCTAAAGGCCAGAGCTCTGCATGCTGCAGCCCCTGTTATGCCCCCCATTGTATGATCTCCCCGCACTGTTGAATGTGGCTTTCTCTACTGAAAATAAAATTAGTTTTTGCATTTAAGTACCATCTTTTCTTTCTTTCTTTCTTTCTTTCTTTCTTTCTTTCTTTCTTTCTTTCAGATTTATTTTATTTATCTATTTATTTAGGCATTTTGGGCCATACCTGGAGATGCTCAGGGGTTACTCCTGGCTCTCCACTCAGAAATTACTCCTAGCCATGCTCAGAGGACCAGATGGGACGCCAGGAATCAAACCCTGGATGACTGCAGGCAAGGTGAACATCCTACCCACTGTACTATCACTCTGGCCCTAAGTACCATCTCTTTTTTAATATACAACAAGAGGAAACGAAAGACCACTATGACAAAATTTTTCTCAAATTTACCCAGAATAGATACATTATACTGAGCCCTGCTGGAGTTGGTAGGCAACTCTGTCCTTCAGAAAATGTGCTCGGATGTCTGACTATGGGAGGTGACACAGATACTCACAATGCTCTACTCTGCTGCACCAAGTCCCTTTGTGACTGGATAGCTTTGCCTTTCACGAAGTGATATGACATTGCCTGTCTCTTGCATCTGAACAGGCCTTGTCACTGAAATAAAGGAAAGGCCTTTCCTGCTTCCACTTTCTCTCTTGGAACTCAGCCACCTGGTCACCAGAACTGGGACAGCTGCTGAAGGCTGACAGATCACGTGGGAGAGAGGGGCAATGTGTTCACAGAGGCCATCCTCATCCAGCTAGCTCTCACTGACCCTGATACTGACTTTCTCACCTGTGTGAGCTCAGCCCAGACTCGTAGAAAAATTTAGCTGAGCCAAGAACAAACAGATGACACAAGAGAAAATCACTGTCACTGTTCTCCCATTGTTCATCAATTTTGCTCGAGCGGGGCCAGGTAACATTGTGAGACTTGTTACTGTGTTTGGCATATTGAATACGTCACGGGTAGCTTGCCAGGCTTTGTCGTGTGGGCGAGATACTTTTGGTAGCTTGCCAGGTTCTCCAAGAGGAGCGGAGGAATCGAACTTGGTTTGGCCATGTTGGCTGCATGCAAGCCAAAACCCTACCCGCCTTGCTATCAATCCACCCCACAAGAGAAAAATGGAGCTAAATAAATGATTGCTGTATTAAGCCATCAAACTTTGTGGGGAGTGGCATACTAGGCAGAAAATAAAAACAAAACAAAACAAAAAATCCCACAAAAACAAAAACCAACCCAATAAATCCATGAAACCAAAATGAACTCATGTACTAGCCATGAGCTACTGGATGACAGGAACCAAGGTATCTATCTCACCCCTAGAGTGTCATGATGTCCAAACTGCTGTGGACATTTTTTAAAACAGGGTTTTTGTTTGTTTGTTTTGCTTTTTGGGTCACATCCGGAGATGCTTAGGAGTTACTCTTGGCAAAGCTCAGGAGGACCGTATGGAACGCCAAGGATAGATCCTGCGTCTGCTGCATGCAAGCCAAATGTCCTACCTGATGTACTATTGCTCTGGGCCCCTCAAAGTAGGGCTCTGATTGGTTTGATTTTTGGAGTCTCCCAAGTCATACTCAGGAGACCCCTGGGGACTCCTGGTAATTCTCAGCTAGGTGTGACTATGGTTCAATGCTCAGCCCAGGGATGCGGTTCTGCTCAGACCCTGAGGGGCCCGGAATTACCTGGGCCACCTTACAGGGCTCAGGGGACTTATGTGGTGCTGGGGATGAAGCTGGGGGTGTCTGTATGCAAGGCACATGCTTTACTCCCTCGCTGGCTCCCTCCAAGGTACTTTTGAATGATGGTGCAGGAATACACAGTACTGGGAGAAACCTATAATCATTCAGTTTCTTCATCTCACTGCAGAGCCACTCAGAACTAAGATTGATTTGGGAGCACAGTGCTCCAAAATCATGGTTTTCAGTCTTCTTAGGCCCTGGAGCAGCACCGGCTTACTGACAGGCTGGTGGCTGAAAATCCACTGCTTCAAAGCACAAATGTCGGGGCAGAGGTGGGACTGGCGGGGGCGGGGGGGACAGGGGTGGAATGGCTCAGCCATAGAACACGGCCCTCATTTGCCTGAGGCCTTCCCAGTACACAAACAAAACAAAAAATTAAAAATGGACAATGAATTCTCTTCTGAGTTATGGAATGAATTACTCTAACCATCCTCTCCT